AATGCCGTCTTAGATATAAAATAGGTGTTATTTAAAATTTCCTCACGAGAGCGCACGCTTTTCTTTAAAGAATTACACAATGTAAAGCAAACGCTGATTAATAACGGATTTCCTAATCAATTGTTGGATTTCCACCTTAGGCGTTTCTTGTCTAAGGTAGCTAATAGCAACGGCGAGAATAGAAACATAAGCAATAATATTAATATTTTTTATAAAAATCAGATGAACGAAAATTATAAACAGGATGAATGCAGAATTAAGAACATTATAAAAAAATGCATGACACCAGTTGATAATGGCAAAAAAATTAGATTAATTGTTTATTACAAAAAAATTAAAACCTCTAACCTTATAGTTAAAAATAATAATTCACCTCATAGAAAAAAATTAATTAGGGCAAATATTATTTACAAATTTAAATGCTTATTAAGGAATTGTATTCCTGGTCAATCAAAATTCGTAAATAATTATATAGGCCACACTACAACATGTTTGACACGCAGACTCACTCTACACTTTTCTGACCATAGCACAATTAGATCTCATTTAAATATTCATGGAGACCTACCGCACACTATTCGGAACATACTTGTCAACAACACTAATATAATAGCATCATATACATACAAAAAAGGCTAAAAATAATGGAAGCCTTATTAATAAAAACAAAAATAAACAACACTTAATAATATTAACTTTGAACATGGGCATAATATTTTGACTGTGTTTTAAAAAAATGAAAACATTTTATAAAACATACATACAACAAACTATTTTTTATTTTAACAGTTAAAATATAATCCTTGAAAATGGCTAAATATATAGCCGAAAGCACTCGGATAAAAAGAATATTCGGACAGATTTTATATAATTTATCATCCGAAAAGAAAAAAAATTATTAGAACGCATGAGAAATTGTATAAAAAACTAAAGAAAAGCACCTTGTCTGTCGTTTTCAATGAAATGTGCATGAAAGAAGGATTGCTGCCTAAATACACTTATTTGGTGGAGGAATACAAAGTGGCAATGGTGAGATTGCAGTCCATGCCGTGTGAATCTGAAGATGCTGTAATCGGGGAAAATGTGCTGGAGGTGAAGACAGGAAGAAAATGGAAAGTGTCAGACGTGATGGTAGCAGTGGAAAGGATGGTAAAGCAGGCGGATGTTCAGGGTGTTACAAGAGATGAACGTGCTGGACTTGGTCTAGTTGAGAGATAGCGATTCTGGTCAGAGACCAGTGGACAGGAGCGAACACAATTTACAGGAAGAGGGGGTTCAGAAGATCGAGGGGGAGAGACGTTTGGTGCAGACTGTCCAACAGGATCAGCAGGGTCGATGACTCAACTGGGAGTATTCTGAGGATGTTCAGATCAGTTGGTCTGTTTGGTGGCGTCTCAACGTGGGACATCTGAGGCTCCGCATACAGGCAGCCTATGATGTAGCGACATCACCGGCAAATTTGAAGAGACGGGGAGTGTAGGAGTCACCCTCCTGCCGGTTGTGTGGTGCTTATGGTAAACCTGCGCCACATACTGTCATCCTGCCCGAAAGCGCTACAGAACGGCTGGTACACCTTTAGGCATAACTTTATTCTGGAGGTTGTGGTAGCAGCTTCGAGAAGTGCTAGTATATCTTCGACGGACTTGCAAAGTATTGCCTTCTTGAAGCATGGTGTGACTGACACAAGGCAGAAGACCAGGTCAGAGGACTCAAGCAAATGATGAGTGTTGGTTACTCCTACACTGCTAGTGGAGATTATTGTGCCTCGACTGAGGCCAGATCTAGTGTTAACTGATAGCGAGAATAAACATCTGTAGCTTGCCGAGCTGACAGTGGCATCAGGAGAAGGGATTGAAGAGGCCCATGAAAGAAATCTGCTATGGTATGAGGAACTGGTGACTGAAGTCCGTGGGAGGAGATACGGCTGCATCCTGGTGCCGTTTGAGGCTGGCTGTAGAGGATTTCCTGCTGCTTCCTTAAAGAGATTCCTCAAGTGTTCTGGTATCCAAAAGCCGAATAAGGTAATAAAAACCTGTGACGAGAAAGCGGTGGATGGCAGTGCACGTATTACGCAGAATTTCGTATCCAGTCGCGTCCAATTAACAACATAGACCGGGGGCGACGTAACATCATCCAGCTGTTGTGGGCCCAGCGTGTGGCGAGGTACTGAGCTTAATGGGCCGAAACTTTGTAGAAGGACTGCGCTCAGCTGAAGTTTGCAGCTGGTCTGATGCATTTGATGTGCACATTTGTTCAGTACCTCTGGTTCTCCAGTGACAACCATGAAAGGATGGTGACGACCGTGATAGTGCGATGACAGCAGTGATAGGACTGCGGGGGGTAAGCTGCCCGACCTGAGTTTTCGCGAGAAGCAGCGCTTATATGTGATCGGGTTTTAAAACAGTTATTTATGGCCGTTGAGGACTGGCCTGCGCATGTAAGGATGGTAGGATGGGTAAATATTTTTATATTATAATCTCTATCTATAACAGGCAGGATGTGTGTGTGTGTGCGTGTAATGAATGCACGGCCGCAATTTTCGACGGATTTGCACCAAAATTTACATGCACATGCTCCAAGTTAGCGGGAAGGCCAAGACCGATTTTGCATTTCTCAACTCCCATCGATAGTGGAAATAATCGATTTTTTTTAATGCTTCTACGGCACTTTTCATGTAGTTTGCGGCCATTTTCTACTGGTCAGAGTGAGAGCCTATAGATGGATGCCACGAATAAGCAGGAAGATTCTATTGGCCAGCGTGAGAGCCAACAGATGACTGAAACGAATGTTAACTAGCATGCTAGCATGCCAAAAAATCGATAGCTGCATTCGTCTCAAGTGGGAAAAATTTAAATCTGCATAGCACTTTACTCCAATTGGCTCATTCGCTTGCTAAAACTCAATGTTGATTCTGATTCCGCAGAACTGGGTGGGATGTGAAAAAGTATTTGTTGTTAACATTCTTTTTTCATTCGGTTTTTCCAGTTACGAGTCCTTTTTTAAAGCTGATCGTTTTGTGTTCATTTTGTTTAGTTCTTTTTTCGTAACAGATTTAATGTTTAGTATAGAACTCAGAAAAAAATTTGCAAAAAAAAATTACCTATAGGCAAGAAGTAAGGCATGTAGCAACATCGGCTCGGCAAAGGGCACTCCTTTAAAGGCAAGGAAAGGCAAAAATATTTTAAGTCAAGTGATAGCGATTGCTGTATGAGTCGTACGATTTTTTTTTAATCAAGCACGGGCAACGCCGGGTCATGCTGCTAGTTGTTTATATATATATATATATATATATATATATATATATATATATATATATATATATAGCCATTTTGTTTCAGCATTTCTGGTGTCTTATCAAGTGATGGTGTTGAAATTAGAATAATGGGTTTTAAAAGGTTCAAATCAATCAAACACACTTCGCTAGGGGAAACGCTGTTACATAAGCTGCAATGGCCAATCAAAATACAAGTATATGAGAATTCAAAAAACTTGACAACGAACCTTTATTAAAATAATTAATGCTTCAATGTTAGGCTTAGACTAAAATAGAAATCCTTCTAATATTATCATCTAATATCAAATTTTACTATAAAATTGAAAATTAAAATTACCAATTTTAAATTTTAAGTGGCTAATTTTGTAGTCATTTTATAACATATTTATGTTATAATTTTCGAATAAATTATATTTGCTCTACTCTGTATTGAGCACTCTTTTAAGTATAATTTTTTTTGATTACTGGAATTTATTCCGTATACACCAATGCTATACTTGAATATATATATATATATATATATATATATATATATATATATATATATATATATATATACTGTTTGTAAAGTCAAGTCCATATAATTTTTTATATTATTAATATCTTCTTTCTGTATTGGATATAATTATTGGTAAAAATTCAGGCTATTGGAGAAAGACGAAATTTTAAATTATCGAGCCTAGTGCTTTATAAGGGAAAGTGGAACATATATCAATTCGGCATTTAATCTTTTTTCGAAATAATCCCCTTCTGAAGCGAAACAGTTTTTTTCCAGCGCCGTTTCCATTGATGGAAATATTCTTGGAACTCCTTTGTTTAGGATAGCGAACAGATGCATCATCGCATTCTCTTGGTTTTCCCTCAATGTCAAGAAGGATTTGAATTTTGAAGATGAAAGAAATGGAAGGGGTGAGTTCTGGTGAATATGCTGGTTCCCGGGCCTGAAGAATATTGTACTTGGCCAAATATTGCTGAACAACCCATAGTAACTGATCCAATCTCTGTGATGTGACAAGACGACCACACTCTACACACGTTCCTATAACTTAATATGCAAGAGTAACATAGTTCAAGCTCAGTCCGTGCCAAGAAGCTTCATTCTACGTAACTTAGATCCATTGCCTTATTTTTTTATCACATTTCGTACTTCTCGCATCTACTTCCCAAAAGTACCCCCAACATAATGGTAAGATATGAGTTGAAACTTTGTTTTAATCTAGTTAATGTCTTATCATTATTTGGCATGTATTTCTACAACGGATATTTGGATGTATCTCTGACGTTCTGACTGTTCATGTTAAAGCAGTTGTTTACTCAACGAAGTCCCGTTCATTAAAAACCTGGTCGTGCAAGAATCACAAATCTGATCTGCTTGATGACTCAAAATAAAAACCACAACATTGCGATTTACAAACATTTTACACTCGTGACACTTTTTAAAATAGCTTTTTTTATGGCCCACTTTTGGTGTCCTTCATATGAATTATAGAACTTGCCTTTAGCGTGAAGTTTTTCCTGGATGAGTGGGTTAAAATTAGGTCATACTATATGCTGGTCTCCCTATGTACGTTCGAAACCTACCGAAGGATATACTATATTTATTAAAGGCACTCGAAAAGCTTAGGCCGGTAGATATCAATGATTGTTTCAGAAACAGATATATGTTTAAACATGTTTCTACACAAAAGATAGGGTTATGGAAATATGTAGATACTAGCTAAAAAGCCGCCTTATCGGACCGCAATTAAGTTAGCTCCAGCGCAGGTATCGTGATTGTGGTTTCGGCTTGTTCAGAACTTTTAGAGTCCCCCAGTCTTTGCATATTCTCAGAATTGGAAGATCTCCTGGCTGCTGTTTGATCTGGGTTTTCATTTGCACGGGACTTTCTTTTATTTTGCTAGGGCCTTGGCTCTTTTCATTGCAATCTGGTCCTCTGTTGGCGGAGATTTCTTTTTGCAAGGCATACTGCTGCCGTATGCAATAGGCAACAATAAACTACAGAAGAACTCAAAACTGATCACTGTATTTAAGTATTGTATTAATATTTAAAAGTTCAACGATAATTAGTCTGCAGTCATTTTATTTAAAGACAATTTGATGTACGTAGGTCCTTACCATTCATGGGTGACATCCGCTGGATTTCGAAATTAATTGCGATTATCCACAAATTTATTTCCAAGTTATAAAAATAGTTATCGTACAAAAAATTTGTCCCAAAAATCACATAACAGAATCGCAGAAAAACAATCGAGGTAATGAAAAACTGAGAATTCAAAATTTCATGATTGCGACTCCGGATCCGGTCACGAATGTTTTTAATTTGCTCACGGAGCCGGCCTGATTCCAAAATGGTATGATATGTTGGGTTATGGCCTCGAGGAGTAAAGTTGAAAAAGTGTGACACACTGACATTCGCACATATATATATATATATGTATAATGGACTCTCCTGTCGGTTTCGACGTATGAGGATCTGACAGCTTACTGATTCAGCTATGAAAGTTTGTGCGACAATCTTAAGTGGCATTTAAGACCCGCTAGTGATTTACAAAGGATGCCACATATGGAGCAAGTGTGAGAATTGTAAAATGAGATCACTGTTAGATTGGGTGACCTTTTAGATCTTGCTCTCGCTTCTTGAAGATGATTCAAACAAGCAGGTTGAAAATTGCTGAGTTCACGAAAGCACGTTGATCTCCATTCTACCCGCTCCAAAGCTAAGCGCTCAAGGGTGTTATGTGGTATATTAACTGCTGACAAGTTGCTTTTCAGCTTGTTTTTGTATCTTAGCCATGGGCGTCCTACATTCCTGTAGCCCTGATCTAATTGGCTGTACATTAGGATCTTGGGTATCCTGTCATCAGACATTCTCAAGACATGACCAGTCCACCGTAACTGAGACTGTATGATAAAAGTCTCGATTCCTCCAATATTACGCCTGTTAAACAGGTCTACGTTAGATGTCCTATCTTGAAGCTTAACTCCACAGATTGTACGCAGACAGCTTAACTCCACAGACAGACGCAGACAATCGGCCTGATTCCAAAATGGTATGATATGTTGGGTTATGGCCTCGAGGAGTAAAGTTGAAAAGTGTGACACACTGACATTCGCACACACACACACACACACACACACACACACACACACACACACATATATATATACATATATAAGTGAACATTGAAGTCAACACTCAGAGGTGACAGGCTGTTTCATGACGACTGCGTCTCGCATGAACAGCCTGTCGCCTCTGGGTGTTGATTTTAATGCTCCCTTTTATATTTACATACGCTCTATCTTTGATATTGAGCACTTTATCCCATAAATATAGCACACCATAAAACTATATATTTATATATATATATATTGATGCATGTTTCATTAAATAATATAGACAAGTTTTGTCTATTTATTTTAAGTAAGTTCCTTTCATATTGTCTGATAAGCTTAATCACATTATCATTGAAAGACGAAAGGAAAACACCATATTGATAAATGTTTAAATCCAATCTAAGCCTTCGGCTTACACAAATGGTTGGCCAGGTTCTTGTGTTTTTTTTAACTTTTTTGTGATCATGGAGTATGTGGTTAAGTTTATTGTTATAATCCAATTTATATAAGAGAAGCCATTGGTTTATACCAACGGCTTCCCATACTTAATACTTCTCGTTTTTCATTCTCGCGTGGTCATGTGTGACGTCACGAGCTGCGACGCGATTTTCGCTTCCGCGTCTCTTATATACGAGTTTGTCGTTACTTGGAAATTTTCATGCAGCAAGGGCGGACTATCATTGTTGTTTCGTCCGTTGTTTGATTTATTGAAATTGTCATCTTTGATAATGACTTATGGAAGCCGAAAGCTTCGGTTCGATTTAAACATGTATCAATATGGTGATTTCCTTTCGTCTTTCAATGATAATGTTATTAAGCTTATCAGACTATATAAAAGGAACTTACTT